ACTTATCTCTAGAATTTATAGAAAACTCCAACACCTCAATAACAAAAAGACAAATAATCCAATTTAAAAATGGGCAGAAGACATGAATAGACACTACACCAAGGATAATATTCAGGTGGCCAACAAACATGTGAAGAAATGTTCATGATCATTCACCATTAGAGAAATGCAAATCAAAACAACAATGAAATACCACCTTCCCCAGGACCAGTAGCAATGTTCAACAAGATGGAAAATAGCAAATGCTGGCAAGGGTGCAGAGAGATTAGGACTCTCATACGTTGCTGGTGGGACTGTAAAATGATACAACCACTGTGGAAGCAGTATGACGATTCCTTAAAAAGTTGGAATTAGAAATACCATTTGACCCAGCCATTTCATTACCAGGTATATATCCTAAAGAAGTGAAAGCCATGACAAAAACAGACTTATGCAACCCATGTTCATCGCAGCACTATTTACAATAGCCAAAAGATAGAAACAACCTAGATGTCCATCAGCTGAGGAATGGATAACCAAACTATGGTACATACACACAATGGAATACTACGCAACCCTAAAGAATAACCTAGAATCTGCAAAACACCACATAATGTGGATGAACTTGGAGGACATTATGCTGAGTGAAATAAGTCAATCACAGAAGGACAAATATTAGTCCATTATTACAAAAGTCAAGGAAAGGCTTATCTATGGAAGGAAATTTTCTTTGTTGGTTACCAGGGGTGGATGGGTAGGGTAGGGAACACTATTAGGTAGGTAGAGATAAGTATTGATTTGGGTGAAGAGAAGGGCAATGTACCAAATGGGAGTGATCAACATGGTGGCATTGAGAAAGAGGAAGACATAGAGAGTTTCATGGGAAATACAGACAACAAAGATGAACCCTTTTTGCACATACAGTGCTGTGCTGTCAGTGAAGGCAAACATGGGTATATGGGTGGATAGACGGGTTGACAGGCTTAACTATTGATATGTCTATGCAGTGGGGAGTGTACCCAAGACTATGTATAGGGTTGGCAAACAATGGTCCTACAAGTGTATTTGTATGTCCTGTAAAAATTCCCAGGTGTGTAGTAGAGCTGACAAGGGACAAGTTTCTAGTCACTTTTTGGTCACAGTCACCTACCCAGAGGGACCGAGTAGTTGAACCTGTGGGCGCGGGACAATAGTCGCAGGGGACATCAAGGTCAATTGGCATAACATACTACACAAAACATTGTTCCACCTCCTACATTAGCGAGTATCAATTGGGATCTTAAAACTTGTAAGCAGCCATCTAGATGCAATGATGGTCTCTCCTCATCCAGATCAAAGAAGAATGAAGAAAACCAAAGAATCCTGGAAAGAATTAGTCCTAGCTACTGGTACACCATAGAAGCTCTGGTAGCATAGTGGCTAAGACACTTGCCTGCTAACCAGACGGCTGGCGGTTCAAACCCACCAGCCACTCCTCGGAAGGAAGGTTGGGCAATCCTACTTCCGTAGTGATACTGCCTCGGAAACCCAAGGAGGGGTCGCTATGAGTCGGGGTCGACTCGACGGCACATAACAACAACAACAACAACAACTGGTACACCATGCGATCCACAGCCTATACGACTGTGAGACCAGAACTAGATGGTGCCCAGCTACCACTGTCAACCACTCAAAGGGGGATCTATGTAGGAGATCTGGATAGACAGGGAGAACAATGTGGATTAAAACTCACAATCATTTGTAAAAAAGAGACCTGGTTTGCTGGTCTGATAGAGCCTGGTAGAACCACTGAGACTATGGCCCCTAGCTGCCCTTCAGGTCTGGAATTAAACCCACCCCTGTGGCTTACAGCCAAACAGAGGACAGGCATATGAGTTGAACATTTACCTGAGGTAGATACACACCTTGGAGAAAACAGTCATAGAGAAAGAAGGGCTGTTTATGCACAGGGACACAGCTTGGGGGCAGGAGTGCATGGAGGGATGGAAGAAGTAACTAAGGGGAGGAAGTGGCGGGGAGCTGTTGCATTGGGATAAATTGTAGTCAATGATGTCATGAGACAAAGTGGATGTGAACTGCTGTATGGAAAGTGAATTTGCTCTGTAAACTTTCACCTAAATCACAATTAAAAAAAAAAAAAAAAAAGAACAGTCCCTCAATCTGAAATTGAAGTCACCGATTTGCTAGCAGCATTGAAAAATATTGGCTGGATTTGGCCATGCTTTTTCAGTCTGAGCATTTAGTCTAGTTTTAGACATTCTGACATTTATTAGGGGTTGGAGGTGGAAGGGATCAATTATTTTTTTTGTTGTTTTTGTTTTGTTTTTGATAATTTTGATGAATTTGTCTTTGAGAAGTTGGAAAGGTAGACATTTGCTTATTTATTTTTTACCTCAGAATGCTCCATGTATCTATGTGTTATTTTCCCCTCTGTCATTGTTTCTTTTATAAAACTGCACCAAGAACAAAATTTCGATAGGTTTAATGACTGAGCCAGAAGTACTCGGAAAACTGTTCTTATAAATGATAAAACTTTCTTTCTTGTAGTTGGTAAAGGTGTCACGTGGAGGATGACTGGGAGTGAGTTGGCGGAGGAGTTATTTTGGAGAAGAAATAGGAGGAAAGAGGGAAGATGGGAGGGAGGGAGGGAAGGAGGGAGGCAGGAAGGAAGAAAAAGAACAATTACTTTTGACAAGAAATAGCTATGGAGTTAATTTCATCCATCTGTATGTGTTCAAGAGATGTGAAATAAATGTAGCAGAGATAGACAACCCTGCTGTAGATGCTATACGTTGTTACTAACTACAGAGATTCTCACTCATTTAGTCCTGGGCCCTTGAAGTAGAATGTTTAGAAAAGACTCCTGAGAGAGATACCATACAAATTTTGGAACAGCTCACCCACCCTCATTTCCTGTTTATATTTTTGTAATGTATTATGAGAATGAATATATACCAGAGATCTTTAAAACCAGGTGTTTAGAGTTTTAAGCAAGTTTCAAGAACTTCACATTTCTTGTTTCATAGATAGCATTGGACCAGGAGGGTAATATAAATATAATTTAAATAAATGAATAAAAGTAATATTTAGAAGAATCATGCTTTGTTTAGAACTTTGTTACACTGTTGTCTATTAATTTTACTCAAATGATATTTATACACCTCATCATGTATATGAAGGAGCCCTGGTGGCTCAACAGTTAAGTGGTTGGTTGCTAACTAAAGTTTAACAGTTCAAACACACCAGCTTCTCTGCAATAGAAAAGACCATATGATCTGTTCACATAAAGACTACAGAAAAGATAACCCTATGAGACAGTTTTACTCTACCCTCTAGGGTTGCTATGAGTCTGTATTGACTCTTTGGAAGACGACAACAATAACAGCAATAATAATGGAATTACCCCTAGGCCCAGAGATGGTGAGTGGTAGTCCTAGGGTGAAAATAGCAACTATGATTGGCAAGGTTCTGTGAATGAACTTAGTTTGTATGCAAAATGTGATCCTGATCCCTACTTATCCAAGGAGTTGTTAACAAAAGAGTCTTCAAAAATAGGAACCAACATACGTAATTGTTAGATCTTAGGACATTATTTTATCTTTTAACAACAAAATCTAGAAGCAGACAAACTATGCAGAGACCTTTGAATCAAAAGATTATTGATGGAATGTTGATATGGCAAACAATTTGTTACATATAAATTTATCACTATTTTTTTAAAAAAGGAAAAAAGATTGTTATGCATGTTTTGAGCACTAGTAATTTAGGAAAATGCTATATGTTTCAAATAATGTACAGTATCAGTACCATTGTTTCAAAAATATTCATATGGCAGACTCAAGATGAATATGTGGCTCAGCATTGATGCAAAGTTGCAGGTCATGTTCTCCTACTTTAAAGTCTGTTCTGAGTAATAGACATCTTCAAATCTGTTTAAATTTGAGATTTTCATTATTAATAGAAGAAACAAATCGAGGCAACATTGTGCTTCCAACATTTCTGGAAGCTTTTCAGAGGAAGCAGCTGTGGTTTCTTTAGACTCCCAACTCTATTATGCAGGTTAGCAGTGTATTTTATAATGAGTTCTAGACCACCTGCATTTCTGAGGAAATTAATATCGAGATAGATTTTTTTTTTCTTTTTTGTCCTCAGTGGTTATGTATAAGATTTTCTTACTCAGTGAGTTTGGGCACCCTTAAAAATGTTCTTTCAATGTTGTTTAGCTATGGATGATTATCTTTTAAGACATGGTCTAAATGTGTTTCCAACAAATTCTTCTCTTGGTGAGTTTAGAGATTGAAACATACGCTGCCCTAGGAAAAGAGTAGTCAGCAGATGATGTGCATACAATTTTTCTTCCAAGGCAGTAAATACCTATAATGAATAAAACAGTGTTTTACATGAATGTGATCTCATCTAAATCAGTGGAATTTCAAAATATTGTTTTAATTATTTTCCTTCTTCTTGCCCCATAGGAGTTTTGCGAAGAAATCAATGGCTTTAGGAGGCCATAGAAGTTTGGAGAATACAGTGAATAGGGTCTATCATGATCAGCTTGCTCCGAAGATAAACACTAACAAGAAAATGGCCACATTTGCAAACCTACCTACCATCTTGCGATTGCCACAGGAGATGAAGAAAAACTGTGGAGGCAAACAGGTAGAAATCACAGTTGGAAGAATAAAAATGGCAAAGAGCATCAAAGAAAAACACAGCAATGATTTAGAGAGAGTAGCCTTTAAACGGAAGACAGAAGGTGAAGAAAATTCAGCTGGAAAGAAAGAGGCAAAGAGAATAGAACTTGACAATCAATTAATTGCTGTGCCCCTGCCGCACATCCCCTTAAAGAACATAATGGATGTGGAAATGAAATTGGTGTACATTGATGAAGAGGACGTGAGCTATGAGTTTGCAGAGTCTTTCATGTCCACTGGGATTCAGCCAACATGCCGAGCTGCTGAAATAGTAGACCCTCTGAGTGTACCTAATTTCAGCTTTCTGCCTCAGATTGACAAATGGCTTCAGGTAGCCTTAAAGGATGCCAGCTCGTGCTATAGACAAAAGAAATATGCCATGGCAGCAGGACAGTTCAGAACAGCACTTGAGGTATGGGATTAAAGAAAATATAGATTGGTAGCAGGAAGCTGTGAAATGGAAATATGCAATTACATTGAGTGGTTCTGATCAAATTGTAATGAACAGTGATCACAAGGCAAAAATGTTTAATGATATCAGGATTATGAGGTTCCCAGTTTACATAAAACAAATAAGCTATGCCTGCAGATTTATATGCCTATGTGCACTTCAAATGTAGAAATAACTATATAAGCAGACCTCACGCTTTTCCTCTGTTAATAAGCCCTGTAGTAAATGGTAAAATATATTTAAAAAGCAGTTGGCTTTGTAATTTAGATGTACACTTATAAAAGCCGTAAAATTTGAGTATAGTGGATGTGCTATATTTATAGAGAGAGAATACAGATTCTCTAGAAATAGATAGTTAATGGGTCTCCTGAATTGTCCCTTTTTTGATATAGAGTCTTCATGATGAAACGTAACCATCTCTACTTTTTAGCATGGGTGGATAATGTATGCATAATAATTATTTAAAAACAAAATAACCACCATTTTACTTTACCATCAAACTTCACTTGACCATCAAAATTGATAGTCTAGGGCATTGTTTGAATAATTATTTTTCTGTGTTCCCACAGGTAAGTGCATCAATATCTTTGCATAATGTACCCCATGGACTGAAATAACTTTGAGAATCACCACTAAAACACAAAAGAAGCAAAGGGGAAAATTCCTTCATCTCCTAACTCATTGAACCAATAGACTAAATGTGTAACCAGAAGTTCCATTGATCTGACAATGTTGTTGTTGTTGTTATGTGCCATCTAGTCAGACCCGACTCATAGTGACCCCTCCTTGGGTTTCAGAGACGGTATCACTATGGAAGTAGATTGCCCCATCTTCCTTCCTCAGAGTGGCTGGTGGGTTTGAACCACCAGCCTTCTGGTTAGTCAAGTGCCCTAGCCACTACTCTACCAGAGCTCCAAAAAGAGATGGCCCGGTCCACCTGGCGGGGAGCAGCTGGTGGGTTTGAACTGCCAGCCTTGTGCTTGGCAGGCTACTTGCCTTAGGCCTGAGGCCATCCCCTAGGGCCCTGACAATATTAGTGATTGCATAGTTCATTAATTATAAAAAAAACAATAATAATTCAGTCCATTTTATACGAGTGGCATTTTGTTAGGCACTGGACATTAAAAAAATGAATAAGACATTTAAGAATCCATCCAACTGAGGGAGACAAACCATAAACATAAAGGACTGATTGATCCACCATCCTGGGGAGAGGCAGGAATCAAATGTGCAATGTTTGTGGTAGATTATTTCCACTATTACTTGCAGGTTAAAATGGCTATAACTAGAATACATTTTTAATGGCTGATACCATACAATAATGCCCTAAATATTTAAGAAAAAATTCTAAGTACCCAAAAGGAAGCTCAAAGAGATACAAAGTGATTAAGGATCACACAAATAGATGCATCTATAAATATCACTGTCCTCAAAAGGGGCCATGTACACAAAGAAGGATGAATGATGGGCTATTAAAGTTCTGTGTAAACTTCTGAACAATGGAAAAAAGTGCCACAAACTGTACCCACCCACTGAGAGACCCCTTCTCTGTTGTTTGAGGGAAAGTACAACAGACTTCTGGCTAGGAAAAAATGCTAGAAACTTGACTTCATCAACTTTTCTTCCAGGTTCATTTTCAGTCAGTTTTTTGTTTTATTTTTGGTTACAGGTATAATTTTATGGACTAACAATAATAATAACATTTTGACAATAAAAAAAGAGAAAAGAACAAAATATATAATGGTGGTATACAAACTTCAAATTAAGAGTACATAGAAACAAACATTATCTATGTTAACTGGGAAAAAATAACCAATTGTTAGTAAAACCCAGTGTTCAAAATTACAGTAATTGAATCAAATCTGAGAGACTAAAAAAAATGTAATTGTATATACTTGTATGCTGAATCGCCCTCTCTTGTGAACGTTCTCTCTCTTTCTTTCTCTCTCTATCTCAGTCTCTCTCTGTCTCAAAGGGCTTTTAGGAAATTTTTGGATGCTGACACTAATTACCAGTAATTAACAAAGGTAATTATTTTGAGACAAAACTTAGCTGAGACATCTGGCCTAGCTTTTGCCTAATTATCTTGAGAGTTAACTTTGAAATTCTACCTACAATGTCTCTTAATAAACAAAAGCTACAGGGAATAGAAAAGCTTTGTAACATCTTTAACCCTTCTTCTCCTGAAACAGTAAGTTTAATTTCTTCAATATTAAGTGATGATATATATTATGTAATGTATCTATTCTTTTCCTTTAGGCCATAACAACCCTAAGTAAGAGAGAAAGGATGTCGAGACCAAGGCATAGTGATAGCCATCTTGCCCGAAAGACAGACCTTAGAGAATATCTGAATGTGTATAAATTAGGATTGGGTTTGAATGCAAGTGGGAGAAAACCCAAAATACCAGTGACTGAGGCAAGATAGAAGCTTTTTTCTCTCTCACAAAAAATGTAGATAATCAAGAACTAGTTTGATATGATTGTCAGGATGCCAGTAGTCTATTTTGTTCATGATGTGACTTTAATCTCATGATCCAAAATGTCAGCTCTTGTTGATGTCATTTCATTGACATTCCAGCCAGTTGGAGGGATAAAAAGGGAAAGAAAAATAAGTCACACCACTTTCATTTTTCCCCATTGTCCAGAATTTAATTATATGTCCACACATATATGCGGGAGAGGCCTTTATTCTGGGTGGCCCTACCATTCAGAAGTTCTATTCCCTGGTGATCTAGTTTTGTAAAATCAGCCATTGAGAACACTATGGAGCAGAGTTCTACTCTCACACACAAAGAGTTGCTATGAGTTGGAATCCATTCAGTGGCAACAGCCAATTATTAAGGAAGAAGGGAGAATGAATATTGAAGGACAGTTAGCATCTTTCCTGAGGTAGTTAAGGTTGTGTGTCAATTTGGCTGGACTTGGTTTTGAGTGGCTGAGCAGCTGGATATAGTTATTCCCCATGAAGACTGGTAATCAACTCCGTGGTAGAATCTACTGTGAGCAGCTGAATAGCTGCCTTAGGGATGTGGTCTGCTTCCACTATATAAGAAAACGCTTTGAGAAGGGTCTTGAGCTTTCTGCACATCTGGATTCTGCATTTTGCTGAGTTATCAGTGAGTGGCCTCCCACGTTGTCTGCTGATCTTGACTGTTTCTGAACTCAAACTAGTGGCCTGTCATGTTGCTTGATAATCTTTGAACTGTGCCATTTTACTTGTCTACCTTGTGTCTCTGGTAGCATAGTGGCTAAGACACTTGCTTGCTAACCAGATGGCTGGCGGTTCAAACCCACCAGCCACTCCTCAGAAGGAAGGTTGGGCAATCCTACTTCTGTAGTGATACTGCCTCAGAAACCCAAGGAGGGGTCGCTATGAGTCAGGTTTGACTCGACGGCACATAACAACAACAACAAACCTTGTCAGCCTCAGCAGCCCCAGGGGGCTGGGAGCAAGAGGCAGAGCTGAAGCCCAATGTTGAGGGTTCTTCACCGAGCTCCTCGAACTAGCCATTTGAATTAGGATGTCTAGCCTCCGAAACTGTAAGAGAACAAATCCCTGTTTTTTAAAGCCATACATTTGGGATATTTCTGTTAGAGCAACATTAGAGAACCAAAATACCTCCCATTGAGTGTTTATTACATGAGAAGCATTTTGAGGTATATGAAATGCTTGCCAAATGGGTGGTCAAAATCTGTTGTAAGAGTATGCAGGAGGCTAATTGTTGTTAAAGGGAAGAACAATAAAGAAACAGAAAATGAGCAACAAAGTAAGAAATGAGAAAGGTCTCTGGCATTTATAAATATTTATTAGTAAACACAGTCATTTCTAACCCATGTAATAAATCTATTAGAAGTATTCTGTTTATATCATAATTTCCTCCTACTCTTGACCAAGTATTGACTCCTTTTGTTTCCATAATAGTCAATAACTAGATGGGTAATTTTATGATAATATTTTATGATGATTAAGATAAAAGGGTTTGCACTGATTCAGAAGACATCAGTTTAGCTTTCTGGGGATGTAATAATCATGTCATGTTTAGGAAAAACCATTCAAAGAAATTACCTTAGGTTTTCCTAAGTTTGTGGCATGCATCCTAAACAATATCATCATTTCAACCTTAATAACAGGATCATTGTAATTAAGAGGCTTCCACCTTTTGAATTAAAAGAAATCTGTCTAGACAAACTTCAAGAGTCACAGTTTCAAACTTTTCCACTAGGCCAGCCAAAGAAGATAGACGAATGCTTATCCTTTCCTAAGTAGAACTTTAATGTCTTCTGAGTTGATCATGTAAAAACCCCTTGAGATGCAAATCTTTTTTTTTTTTTTTTTACAACTTAGTGCTGCAGTCACTTATCTGTGAAGCTAAAGTAATGACTCCTAGTTATGAATCTCTTTGTATGTGTCAAGTTGGTCTGGTGGCACTGTTGTTAAAGCATTGGGTAGCTAACCAAACGGTTGGAGGTTTGAACTCACCAGCTGTTCTTTATTTGTTCTTCAGGAGCAAGACAAGGCAATCTGCTTTATAAAGATTCACAGCTTTGAAATCCTATGGGCAATTCTACTTTGTTCCAAAGGGTTGCTATGAGTCAGAACCAATTCAATGGTAGTGGGTATGGTGGGATTATATGTGTCAGTTACTGTATTTTACATTCTGGAAACTACATTTATTACTCCATTTTATTCTCATAACAAGTCTATGAGATAGGACTATTATTATTTCTTTGTTACAAATGAGAAAACAGGGATAGATAGGGTAAGTGACTTGCCCAAGCGTCAACATCTAGAAGTGGTATAATCAGGATCTGAACCCAGGAAGTCTAGCTCCATTTTTCACTAGCTCAACCAATATTTGTGAGTTTGCTGAAAATACAGAATTCCAGCCCCATCCCAGACCCACCAATCATAATCTGCATTTTCACACAACCCCAAGTGATCCTTGTATACATTACAAT